TAATCATGTTGGTTTACATGAATCCATTAGGATATTGGGTCAATCATGTTGGTTTACATGAAATCATTAGGATATTGAGACAATCCTGTTGGTTTACATGAAACCATTAGGATATTGAGACAATCATGTTGCTTTACATGAAACCATTAGGATATTGAGACAATTCTTTTATTTTGCAGGAAACTATCAGGCTTTGGATTTTTTCTGAATCCGTCAAATCAATTAAGATTGAGGCAATTATTTAGGTTTACCTGAAACATACATGTAGGCATTAAAATCGCCTCATACCCATTGCTTCAAATGTTTTTGGCATATAATTTTCATTTTTGTTGAAAAAAATCAAATTGAGGGGTTACCCAAGACCACTAGGTCTGAAACCATCAAGATTGGGACAGTATTGTGTTGGACAATATATTGACATGCATGCTGTCTTTCAACAGATGACTGGGAAGGCAATGAAGGCCTTCTTGACTTTGAGAGAGAGTTAACTCTAGAGATGAGAAGACAACAATTACAGAGAGAGTTGGAATTGGAAATAGAAAAAGAAAAAAGGGAAAAGGAGAATGAAAGTGTCGTTATTGAAAAACAGGTTAATATCATAAACTTTTTTTTTCTGACGATTACAGAAATATTTTCTTCAAAATTGATCTTGGTCCCTCGCTATAATCCAAAATATTGCTGTAAAATTGTCATTGACTGCCATATTTGTTGTAGCAAAAATGTACAGTATAAATAAACAAGTACTGTCTACAATTCGTCAACTTTGGACAACAAATGGACATATTATAAGATTGGTGATCTTGTAAAAAATTTAACAACATCACTTTGTCATTGAAAGGGTTAACATATGAGTACGTATGTAGACAGTTGACAGGATCTCTGTTCCCTGTCTACATACTGAAATTATTTTATATAATATTTCACAGCACTAAGAATTAACTTTTGCAGAGAGCCCTTCACTTCCCTTTGTTTCTTGACATTGAATCACACTATTTTGCCAATGTTAAAAAATCTAACTTTCCAGAACCAGATTTTGTTTGTGTGTATGGACAGATTTTGTTCAAACTTGGAAAATAGGGTACAGAGGGCATTATGGGATCTTCATGCACATATTTTTTTTAGATTTGATTGAAATGGCCAACGAGTGGCCAACAAATGCTATTACAGAGCACATCTCTGACATGCCTTAACCGGTCATGTTCAAACTTTATATATACAATTATACATCATGTCACATATATGCACATACATTTGTTGATGACTAGATTTGAAGTGGCTGAATGATAGCTATTTTAATGTGAAAAAAATCATCAAAATCAAAGAATTTGCAAATTCCGATCTTGATCTCCGACATGCTCTGACCTTTCATTTTCAGCTTTATATATTTCTTAAACTGATAATGCAAATCCTTGTTGTTTTACAACATGTATTTCTCCCATATATTACTTTAAAGACACAATAAATATCAGACATGATTCTAAACATTGCTATTCTTTATATTCACCACTTTCCTCTGGCAGATGATGTCAGATGAGAGTCCTCCTGCTAGACGTAAAAGACCACCTTATTCTCCAAGTCCTCCTCCATGTAAAAATCGTGATAAACACAAAGAACGTCATACTCTGCCTGATTTATTGAGGTAAGTGATGATGACTTATCTATGTAGATGATTATTTCATAGAAATATATGTAAAGTTGATATTTCTCTGTCTAGAAACCCTACAATGTAGTTGAAATTGTGTCCATATTTACTTATCAAAGCACACAGTGTGAGTCATTGTGGTTACACTGCCTGAATGTGTGTATGTACTATATATTTATATGTCTTCTGACTGATATACGAATTTGACGAATTTCAATAGAATTTAGTAAATTGATGATTTGGGACAATGCAAAGACCTGATTAGTTTTTGATTGTAATCCATGTGTATTAACCACAATTTACCAAATAATTAGTAAGTTTTCAGCTTTTCCACCAACATCTCAAGAACCACTCAACTGAATCAATTGAACTTAGCCTAATAATTTTTGGTTAAATTAATGAATATTAAATATATAATTTACATAATAATTAGTTACAGATATCTCAAGAACCACTCTATCAGATTTAAATGAACCTTGGTACATAAATGTTCTTGGACAGTCCGGGATATCCAGGATTTTATTTTAGATTATTTTTGAATTTCTAGAGAGAGTAAAGGACTTCGTACTCCATCCAAAGAGGCCTCTCACAATAAGAAAGGAGGGGCAACCTCTCACTTCATCATGGATTCACCACCATCTAAATGTCGCTATAAGTCTCCAGTACTGCGTAAAGGTCCTCATACACCAAGTCCACCACACCCAGAAGAATCTATACATATCAAAAAGAAGAAAAAGAAAGTCCCTGGATTGAAAAACAAAGAAACAAGCAAGAAAAACAAAACAAAGTAAATAGTTTGTACAGTTTTCACCTGGTTGTCTGATATTTTATTGACTCCCATGTGCGAAGCACAAAAAAGGAGTCTTTGCAGTTAGTGTGTCTGTGTGTCTGTTCCACTGATATCTCAAAAACCATACATTGATTTTTGATGAAACTTGGCACATAGATGCTCTGAACTAATGCGCAGATTTGATTAGTTTTGGGTAAAAATATGTGCAATTACCTAATTTTGCATAATGATTAATAGATTTTTGGCTTTTCCACTGATATCTCAATTAGTAATCATCACATTTCAATAAAACTTGGTACATAGATATCATAGGACACTGCACAGACCTGATTAGTTTTGGGGTAAATATTTGTGCATATTAATCACCTTACTAGTATAATTAGTTAATTTTCAGCTTTTCGCCTGATAACTCAAGTACTGATCATCATATTTCAATGAGACTTGCTACATAGATCTTCTAGGACTATGCAGAGACCTGATTAGTTAGGGTAAATAATTGTGGATATTAATTACCTAATTCGCATAATTAGTTAATTTTTTTCCATGATTGTTCCACTGATATATAAAGAACCACTAATTGGATTTTATTGAAACTTCATCATCACATTTCAATGAACCTAGGACTATGCAGAGACCCAATTACAGTACAGTTCTCGCGGAAGCTTTGGCTTTTGTGGCATCATTGTCGCCTACGCATGGCTTCGTTGTCGCCTCAGCATCGCATCATTGTGGCATCAGCTTCGCGTCATTGAAAATTGAAGCTGTTTTCGCCTCGCTATTTTGTGGCATCATCGTGGCCTCAGCTTCGCAGTCTCATGGCATCAACATGGCATCAGCTTCAACTTATTGTGGCATGAGTATGACCTCATTATTTGCACGCAGAAGGGCAGTAGACAAAAACATGTACAGAAGTTCGATATGTAATTGAATCGATTTGAAATTCAAGGCGAATAAAATAATATGATCAAGAGTAAAATGACATTTTAATCAAAGAAAGCTTAGAAAGAACTCCCATGTGCTGAGAGTATTGGAGACACATTAAATATAATTTGAAATTACTTAGCTGAAAACTAATTATGCAAATCAGAAAATTAACATGAACAGATTTGATTGTAAAACTAATGAGGTCTGCGCAATGTAATAAAAACTCTATGTACCAAGTTTAATTGAAATGTGATTAGAACCAAAAATATTATGATTTATTATGCTAATTGGGGAAATAATATGAACAGAGTTTTAACCCAAACTAATTAGGTTTGTACATTGTCCTAGAGCATCTTTGTACTAAGTTTCATTAAAATGGAAATTAGTAGTTTAGATATCAGTGTGAAAGCTTAAAATTGGTTAATTATGCAAATTGGGTAATTAATATGTACAGATTTTAACCCACAATTATCCAGGTCTGTCTATTGTCCTACAGCATCCATGTATAAACATTCATTGATATATGATTATTACCGTAAAAACCCGCAAATAAGCGCCACCCTCAATTAAGAGCCACTCAGTGAAAATTTGTTACATTTGACCCTCCATTAAGAGCCACCAAGAGTTGAGTGGTTTTGTCAATAAGAACCCAGATTTAAGTGCCAGCCACCCGGTTGTTTACAATCAGGCAGACACCGAGCTTATCGCGCCTGACTTCCACCTGCATTGTTTATTGCCCCACAG